GACTCTTGATCAGGGGGTGTAGTGATAGGACAAGGCTGGGTAACAGTTTCAAACTGAAAGAGTGGAGATTTAGATGAGGTAATACGAAGAAATTCTTTACTGGGAGGGTGGTGAGACACTGGAAGAGGTTGCCCAGAGAAGCTGTGGCTGTCCCCTCCCCAGCAGTGTTTAAGGCCACGTTGGATGGGTCTTGGAGCAACCTGATCTAGTGGAAGGTGTCCCCGCACATGGCAGGGAGTTGGAACTAGATGATCTTTAAAGGTCCCTTCCAACCCAAACCCTTCTGAGATTCTATTCAATGATTAAACTCCTGTTTTGCTTATATCTGTTCTTTTGTAATTTGCTTCCGTTTTCATGGATAAATACAAAATAAACCAATGTAAAAATATAATTTTATTCTATGAAAAATCTCAGAACAAACAATCGTAATTCACCTTACATGTAACTATAAAAAAAAAGAGGAAAGAAGGAGGGATGTCACCTGAAGTTTAATTTGGCACATGGAAAATTTACTACCCTCAATAATAAAAAAGGAAAACCAAAAAGTATGAAATGCACACCAAACCTCTACTAATTCTCTTTATACTGTAGGGCTGGCAACTCAAACAGAAAAATCAATGGCAAATGATAAATGTGGACACCCATATTATAATTTCTACAAAGTGGCACTTAAGAACAGAAGTTCACGTGAAATGTACTTGTAAGTGAAAATCTCTGTATCATTTTCCCCTGAAAATGGTCTCAGTACACAGTATCTTAGTACAGGATCCTTCCAGAAGATTTTCAGTGGCAGAAGCAAGAAATAGAAATATTGTCATGTCTTATTAACTGACCCTCACAGCTGAATGCCTAACCTCCTTTTACTAATCATTATAATGCCATTCAATCTCCCACCCCAACAGAGCTAAGATCAAATTCTCTGTCCCCCAATTTTTTTTTCAGTCGACACAGATAGTGGAATATAACTGGCCCAAGTAAAAATACGTTCTCCTTGTGTAAACGCTCTCCTTGTAACAACCCCATGCCCCCAAACCAGCAAAGGTTCATGTTGTTTCCTTGCCATAAAGCTTGCAGTTCAGTACGCCAGATGTCATGGCCCAATAAATCTTAAGAAAACTGCTTAATTATACAGAGCTTACGCAGACATTTCAGATACAGAAGTTGTTTATGAGCCACCAACTGACATTTATGAAACAATACATACTTTGCATCGTGTCGAGCTAGTATCTCAGTTTCCTCCTGAGATTCCAGTGAGGAATTAAAGGGTAGGGGTTACAAGGTGAAAACAAAATAATCAGTTTTATGGTGGTATAAAGCTATTTACTACCTTGTTGCTGGTACACTGTTGGGAAACGAGGAGCTCAAAAAGCATGTAAGAGGGTTTAACATTCAAGGAATGCCATAACCGCACAGGCTTCTCCAGAGCAACCTGTGTTACTGCAGTCCCTCTACCCAAGGTACAACAGCCAAGAGAGGAGAAGAGCAAAGCCTGCTGGCTCTGTCACGGTGATTCCTGGCCCAAGTCTCCCAAATCACCGGACTACTCTGCACAGAAGCTGTTCACTTCCAATGATATGTTTTATGACTGAAATTTGAACTTCACTCGCTCTGGTAGAAATAAAATCCCACGTTAGCCAATAACACAGGCAAGGTTGCAGATAAACCTTAATATGCTCTATAAATCAGGTTGTGGTTATAAGTATGCGACCTTAACAATTCAGCTTTTTAAATTGCTGAAACGCAGCAAAAACCAGTAAGCTGAGTTTTGCTTGTCAATAAGTATGGATTATGTTCAGAAGGTCAGAGAATTCGCTTTGTTAAAAACATTATTTTTTTCTAGTTTATTATTAGATTTTTACTGGCACAATTTTATTCCTACCAATTTTGTAAGTAATTAAAAAGGAAGAGCTGTTTGGCTAGGTATTAGAAAATACAGTAATATGCACAGCTTAAAATATGAAAGTAGTGTCATCCTATTTCTTACTTCCAGAAAAACAATGAGGAAAAATTTTTAAAAGCTTATGTCCTCTCAGGCCATTCAGTGGAAGCATAGAAAATTAACAACAACAGTCCTGTTGCTGAAAACACTAATAGAATTTGTCATCTAACTCCATTCGAAGAAGGATCAAATACTTCAGCTGATGAAACAGTACAACTGCTGCTATGGTTGGCTGGTCCCAGGGGCAGAACTGTGTACACAGCAGGGATGCTGCTGTATCATTTTGAAAGGAAAACAAGGTAACTGTGAATACAACCTCAGAGATACATTACAAAGTGTACATTCACCCATTATAGCCTCTGTAGGCTTGGGTCATCTTTAATCCTCACTCTTTGGTTTCTCCTTTTGTAATTACTTCTGAATGTAAGGAAACATGCAAAAAAGAATACTGGAATAAACAACTGGGATGAGAACAGCTCTACACCAAGGGGGGGCTTTACAATAACAGACAAATCGCCTTATCACAGAAGAGTGAAACCTTATGTGCCTCTTCAAAATACACCAACAGCAAACACCAGAGTTAAAACAGTGAACCTTCACCATTAGCAGAATGGAACACACTTCTATTTAAGAGAGCACGCTTTCACAAGAAGACTTCACAAGAAATTGGCAACACATGCCAATCAGGGCCTCCTACCTAAAACACCAAATAAAGCTACTCTTTCAATTGTGTTTTTCTAGATACATGTAATGCAAGTAATCCATATTAAGAATTGTTAATGAGAATAATTACTGACAAATACAAGTATGCACATTGCTGTGGAAGAGCAGGCAAAAAGCAAACACAGGCATTGTGCCCATGCAGAGCAAGCACATACGAGATTAGTGAAGGGCAACAATCGCGTTAGTGCTTTGCACAGTTACGTATGTATTGTCTGAGAAAAGCGAGCAATATTCTCAGCAAATGAGAATGAGGGAGAAAAGAAACTGCACATGTTCTGAGAACAGGCATGATACATGACAGCTACATGTAACTGTGACAGCCTGTGATCACTGCCTTCATAACCAGAACACATTTTTATTTCTTTGGGTAATATATGTTGTGAAATCCTCAGTGCTTTTTATACACCTCAGACTATACAATGAGAACAAAGAATATTTATATGCTGGTTTTAATACAGAAAACTTATTTAAAATGCGGTTTACATAAAATTTAAGACTACCTCAGGATAAAAAGGAAGGTGGTAAACTGAGCCTGGTCATTGCTCCTGTTACCATTTGGCTAGGAGTCTGCATGGAAAATAGCTATCAGTGGTTGAAGAGACTTTCTCTGAACTGCTTTAACATAAGCAAACTCAATTCATTTCCCACCCCAAAGTAAAGTGCAAGAATATTCCATTTTGAAAGAAGTGATTCCTTCAATTATAGTAGCAGATGTTGTCAATCTTTAAGATCCTTGGACAAGTATGAAAAATTAAGGCCAAAAGGTGAGTTGCCCAATATAAAATCTGGGGAAAAAGGTAAAGCCCCAAAAGTCTGAGTTTTCAAAAAACAATTTTCCTCACAACTAAATACAGTGAAAAGTGCAGAAAACAAATTCATGAGGGTTTTTAATGAAACAGCATACTGTACAGGCATAAAAGTACTTTTAAGTTGAAAAATTCAAGAATCCTTAGACCACAGCTGTACGCATTTCACTGCAGATAACCTTTTGAGTAATCAACAGACATAGATGTCACTGTGCTACAAGTCATACAACCTTTCTTAACTTGCCCCAAGGTTTAATGTGACCTACATTTAAAGCCAAAGGGAATTAGTAATATTTCATAATCTACATTTTAAATGAAAGAGGTAAAGTTAATCTTCATTTACCATTTGTATTATTACTCTGTAGTAGATGCTTTCTTAATAATGAAATGTAGTCTTTGACTTACAGTTCTTTTTCTCACAGTAGTTAAAATTTCAGCCCAAACCAGACGTATAATGTGTTTTAGGCTGAGCTGATCTGTTGCATATTGCTTCCCCATATGAAGACCCAGGATGCATGTCCACATCCTTATGCTGGCTTCTGTACCATGGGTACCTAAATGGCAATATGACAGAGTGCCTATTCTTGCCTAAAAGAGAAGTGGACAGATGCTATTCTTGTACAATCACAGGAAATTAAACAGAGCCTAGGAGAGCTCTTAAGACACTGGTGAGCAATTAACTACAATGTTAAAATGCTCCGTCAGGCTTGTGTCAACTCACAATCCTTCAAACAGCTGATGGGCAAGGTTTGGTAGTTGGAAAGTTCCTGGCACTGTTTCCAAAAGGCTGTTCGCACACAACCACAGTCTTTAGGAGGCTAAGGAAGTCCACAAGCAAGTACACAGGTTATTGCACACCAGCTGGCCAGAGGAACCACCAACATCCCTACATACACTAAGTGCACTAGCAGAGATAGGGCCTTTGACACCAGCTCCCATTCCCCAGATGTACAAAGGAAGGTGTAAAGTTGGCGTAAGATGCCATGGAGCTATGTTTCATT